TGTGATCCGAACCGTGAGATTTGTGATCCGTTGAACCACTAGTTCTTAGTAAAAAAAACTTGATTAAGTAACTTGATTTTCATTCATGTTGTGATTTTTGTTTTTGTAATAGGTTTGAGTGGCGTTTACAGTATAATGGATCATTATAAGCATGAGAAAGTGAGGGCGGTTGAATATGTGTCAACTATGCACAAAGCTATGGATGGTGTGGAGAACTTTGATTATTATTCGCCGACATCATTACTCAAGAAATTGAATGAGGATCAGTTGAAAAGGTATTGTTATTGTTGTTTCTATTGACACACTGTCAATGTCCAACAGCTGAAGCAGCAATACATTCATTTGTATTATTTGTTTCATCATAGTAAATTGTTATTGTTATATAATGTGTCATTGTTTTCATCTGTTTGCTATTGTAGTACCATTACAGGCCAACTTATAAATGCAGTTTACCAACTACCAAGTCACTACTAGAGTACAGAGAGATGCAGAATACAGTGTGGCTGTTGAAAAAAGCTCTTTGTGAGCTACTGTGAAGAGATAATTATATCATTGTAGAATTAACAGTAAACGCTTTATCATTTGCTATGATTTTCATGCAGAGTTCCTCCAGTGGTTTTGCTCCATGGAACCAATGACATCATAGTTCCCGTGGAATCATCAGTGAAGTTCTCGGAGCTCCTCACTGCCCTTTCCATCAGGATGTCTCTCTATCTAATACCTAAAATGAACCACACTGAGATGGTCACTGACCTTATGGCTCCAGACAGGCACTTTTACCACACTGTTTATGGCTGTATTAAACAGGAGTACAGTAAATTTCAAGGTTATGTTGATTAATATTTTTCATTCAATTCAGTACTAATTTCATTTTCCAGTATGCCAGACAGTCATTATTTGTTCTTTATGATTTTACTGAAAGTTTACATTTAAGTTCTAATGATTTGTTTTCTTCTGAAATGTTTAATTTTCGATCAAAAATGTGTTCAATAACCCATTATACAAGATAGCAAGGTGAAAGAAAACATAATATTATCTCTGTGCTTGTTATCTGTTAATAAATTCTGTTAATGTTCAATGAAATGTAAAAAAGAAGAGATTGTTCCAATTAAGAATATACAACATATTTTCGTGTTTGAAATGTAATATGGATGGAGAAATTCTTATTTTGCATTTTTATAACGTGTGTAAATTATTCCATAATATATTTATTTAAACCATACATAAATGTTTCTTTTTGTGTCCTAATTACAGAATTAGTCACTTGGCTATTGATGTTCTTTTGTTTGTTACATATTCACAGTTCATACCATATATTACATTAAATAACATAAGCTTCAGCTGTGCATGCTATAGAAATATTATTGATTTATGTTTGCTTTTGTCATTATTAGAATAAAATGTTAATACCAAGAACACAATAATGTTAATATTTGGGTGTTGACATTGAACCATTGAATATTAGCCTCATAAGTAAACAGCTCCTTTATGTTGGGGGCATATGCTCAAAAAAACATTTATTTTAGGAATATAATTCAGTTAAAATTGACAAAATTATAGCACACAAAGCACAGGTATGATCTATTATTGAGAAACGTATTAAATATACATGCATAAGTCAATGCATTTATATATATATATTCATTGTACTGAAACTGTAGCTAACATCCACATCAGCATCATGTAAAATTGGCATTCCTTTCTTCTTTCACTGCTGTGGCAGTCAAGTACATTAAACACTCAAAACACTCAAACTATAAATACTGCCAGATTGACTTTCGATTATTATTACCTTGCTAACCAGAGACAAAAACGATCCTCCAAATGAAACGGGCAACTGCATCGTAATGACCAGCAGGTGTCGCTGTTTCCCGTGTAATCCAAGCGCTACA